ATCCGGATTTGACTTCGGTGGAGCAATGAACCTGCGGAACATATCATATCCTATGAGCAAAACCCCTCCCTCTTCAAACCAATCATCAATAGCACAGAATCTGCTTTCAAGGTCAGACGCTGAATCGACCGGTCTCAAATCCCCAAGGATATCATCTGGTGACCAAGTAAGAATTTCATCCACCCAATTGGCGATCAGTCCAGGAGGACAAAGAATGATTGTTTTTGAGACACGAAGACTTTCCGGGACTTGTGATGAGATGGACTCATCTATTGAAGATGCTGCTTGAGCTAGGGTGACTAGTATAGTAATCCTAGCAAATTGTTAGTCGTATATTGCAGGAAATGAGTCACCTTACTCACGTCTGCATGGTTTTCCCAAGTCCCATTGTGTGTGCCAGAAGGCAGCCTTGTGTCGCCTCCCCATCTGCAGTAATTTGATTCCAAATGAATCTTACACCTTCCAATTGATGAGGTTTTATGCGCTTGCCAATATCTTCATCGACGTAAATGTAACCTTGATGATCGAATTTGCCCTCGTTAATAATGTGGCGATCTAGTGCTACATCTCCAACACCATCGGATTCTCTCAATCTAGCTCGAAGTTGTTTCTTACGCTCTTCTTGTGCAGTTACTCGTGCTCTATCTTGCTCTCGCAAGTTCCGGGCATTTGCATCCTCAAAGAACTTTCCTTTCTTTTTACTTGGAGAGTCATCTTCCCCTTCAGAGAACTCACTATCACTTGCGCTGTTGTCGTCTATTAGTCATGAACAACCTGTATTCCATACGAATTACAATAGCTTACCTAACAGATTTACGTTTTCTCTTGACTGGACCTTGAGGTTCGCCATCCTCATCTTCATCGTCACCAGACGCTATTGCAACCGCCGAGGAGAATTTCGACATAGGAAACTTCAGACGTATTTTTGGGTTGAAGTAATCTTGTAATGATTTGCAAAGGAGATAGAAATGACCGAGGGAGTTGAACTTATCACTGGTAATTGAATCGGCAGCGAAGAGCATCCATCCTTCATCCGCGAGGTGAAACTTGCAATCAATAAAAATCCAGAATAGTCTGATGAGAGTTAATAATGCCTTGCCCGACTGTTCGTCCAAACCCTTTGTTTTGTGACCAGGTTCTATGGATTCTTCTACACGAGCTCTTAATTTTGTCTCGTCATCAATGGTTGCAATGAGCTCAAACAGGGATTTCTGCATCTGGTTTGGCAGCTTGTCTACAACTGTAATGATGAGTCGGTCTCGGTCTTTGGAATCCTCCCAAGTTGCATATTCAAATCGAGAGACTGCGGCTGGTGTTGTGAGCGATGGAAGGTTGTTGAGATCTAAAATAGGTCTCTCGGATTTTCGTTCTCGATCAGATTCGGATGAAAGAATGATTGGGTTGACAAGACTTGAAGATGTGTAATTCAAGTTCAACTTAGATACTCGATTGCTCTCTGGCGTTACCAAGTCAATTTCAACGCGATTATTTTTAGGCGTGCATGCTGATAGCGGAACTTTCGGCTCACTCTTGACTTTATGAGACGGGGAATGCTCTATTGGCTCAGGTGATTCGAGTTCCTCCTCATTAGACACGGAGGTCATATGGTAGTCTTCTTCACTGATGTAACCATTCCGGATAGATGCTTCAGATCTTAGTTGAGCTGCTCGTCGAGATGGTGTCATTGAAGCTTCCGGGAGACTATCATCGGACATAGTCACATCTTCTTCGTCATCTGCGAGGTCAAGTTCCTCCACAATAAAATCGCCAACATTATGCTCACTTTCGACGGCAGAAGACTCACTATTTATTGATTCTCCAGAGTCGCTCTGGTTACCGGAAAAGATAGTCTTCTTTGGTTTGACGGGGATATCTGCTGCTAATCTTGGAGGTGGCGACTTCTTTTGAAGAAGAGCGACTGTGTAGATCAAATCCTCTCGATCAAAAATTGTTGCCTCCATGATGCGGGTTTGGTAGCGTACCTGGTTCTCATTCGACCACTGGCCAAGAATAATGTTTTCCCGAAGTTTCGGGATGCGTCTATCAACAAGATGTTTTAAGTCTTGCTGAGCCTTCAGACTGTCTGCATGCTTTGACCCTGTCTTGCGTGATTTTGTCCAAAGCCTGAATGCTTTTTGACGACGTTTGGGGAGCTTTATTTCTTGCCACTGAGAAACAAGATCTGCGATACCTGCATCAACAGCTGCTTCTACTTCTTGCGAAGTGAGAAACTTATTCTTTTGTTTCTCCTTCTCGATATATGCAGCTCTCTCCTTGGCCTCCTCATCTATAGCCTCCCAAGTTTCGGTGTCAAAACCATTCTCTGAACCAGATTCTCCGTACAAAGGTAACTCTTCATCATCATCCTTGAGCATATTGTATTTACTCAGAGCACCAGGTTCCTCATACGCATTCGCCAAAAGATCAACTTCCGCATTCGAATCAAAGTCAAAGGTTGATTTCCCAATATTCGAAGATTTGATGGGGTATGCTTCTGGATCGATCTCGGGCCATGATGCCAAGGTTTGCCGGGAGATTTCGGTAGTATCCGAACTAGAGCGATACAAAGTGAATGAAGGTTTTGGGGCAAGTCGCAAGCGATATGGTTTAATGGCGATTAAAGTCTTGTGATTTCGCTTGAAAAGTTCCGGGCTAACACGAAGAAAATGTTTCATCAAGCCATGAACATATAAACGACGGCCAAATGAGATGGAGCTCCGTTCTTGGAATTCAAGCGCCATTTCACGCGGCAAAATTTGCTCACCTGCCGCAACTTTGCCATAGAAAACATTGTCTACAGAGATGCGCGAATTACCCAAATAACCCTGATCGAGTTGTGAATGGAGGAATATGCGAACAGTATCAGCTTCGGTGGGTATTGTGCGATCTCTTGTATGATCGATAGCCGTTGTAATGAGCGTTGGGGCAATGCGCTTGCGCGTCTTGGTAGGTTGTACCTCGTTGGAGGCATGGACTGAAGTTTCGAGGAGAATTTGTTTGTTCGCATCTTCATCTTCTGAATGCGGAGAGGGAAGAGGGGGCGTCAGGAAGAGAGGGTCAGAATGATTAGGTTCCAATGGGCCATCCCGATTTGCGCCGTGAGTATTGTCATCTAGCTTCTGTTGCTCATTATTGTTTCCTTCGGCCATAGACAACTTCTCAAAACCTTGGCTCGAATTGGGATTTGGTCCTTCAGTCTCATTTTCCGTAAATAGTCTCAGAGGTTGCAAGCTAGGGATAATTGGGATGCCGGAAATACTAGCTGGCATGTGAATGGGCACAGTCGAATTAATGGTGAAATTGAAATCGGCATGCGAAGATACACTTGGTAAGCTATTGCTGTATCTCTCTGCAACCAAAGCGGAAGCACGTTCCTTACCCAACCAGACCTTATATTTTGCGCTTCGGTCGCGGAGTTGCTCAATTCCATATCGAATGAAAGATCGCCAGCCAAGTTTGGTTATTTGCAGATCTACCCGTAGACTCTTGTCATCAATTTCAATTAGAAGGATATCTCCTGTAATTTCATTCTCCCGAAAAGCTTTTTCTAAGAACACAGGATCCGGTAAACGAGTAGAGGCTGCGCGAAGTTCCCAAGACCGTTGGTCGGTGCAAAACTCTTGGACTATCCTGTCGGTCGACCATGACCAAGGGTCGTCGTCCTCCATTTTTGTATTAAAGTGATCGAAGTTCGCTGTTGGACATGGAGAAAGGTTTGGCGACGAAAGCGGTAGCTGTGATAGCCAACGAAGAACGTGAGACTCGCGAACTATAGGAAGATCGTTAGTTATGGTCATAAATGACGGCGAAGGGCAACTCCTCTATTCTGAAAGGCTGAATTTATTGAATATAAGAGGATGAATTGATGAGAAGAGTAAAGGTTGGAGGTAACATGTGGTAAGGACGTGGATTGCTCACATTAAAGAGTGTGCGTGGTATAGTAGAAGGTTTGAATTGAAGTCTAATAAAAGTTCCGTCGTCGAATTATCTACGTATCAAATGTAGATCGAGCTATGAGTGAATTGGTAGAAAATGGGTCGAGCTGCTTAAAGTATTAAAGTTGAAGTCATGTAAACACCAATGGCACGACTGGAACCCCAGACAGCGACTTTGCGCTCCTGGAAAAATAATAAATAACTGGTATTAGGAAGAAGCAAATAATGAGAGATCTCTCTCGTCGTATGAGAAGGTATTGTGGCACGGAATTTATCAAATTTCTATTCTAGAATCGTAGAAACGGCGGCTAGGTTAAAGTTGAAGAGATTAGAGGGGTAGGACAAAAGAGGAGGGGAAAGACGAGGGGAAGCTTGAGCCTGAAAATAAGAAATTGAAGTTGAATTGAAGACTGACGCGAGCTTTCGCGGCCATCAATCACGAAAATGCGTGCTTGCTGCTATAATCTAAAGGGGTCTTCAGCCTTGCGGCTTATCTGATCAAGGAGTGGGCCATGATGACAATCACGTGGTGATAAACAAGCTTAAGATTGTTCTGTTGCATCTATTTCCCGACAAAAGAATGGATTGTTTCATGATTGAAAAGTCTACATATTTGACTAAATAAATATTCGCGTTCCAGCAGGTCAATAAGAACTTTATGTTTGCTACCCACCCCCTCCCTACCTAGGTATAAAATATCTTTTTGGTGAACTTTCCAAAAGCTTAATACAGGTGAAATGAGCACATGCATTTCTTATCGTTATCGGTATCTACTCTTAGCCTTGCATGATTTTCATTCAGCCTTGTGAACCGTTCCCCACTAATGAGATCTTATTCGAAGTGGATCGACCTATTTCTTCAATGTCGTGACTGATGTGATGACAAATTATCTAAGCAGAAAAACTACCAATATCATTATCAAATCTTCTCAACCTTGATACCATCGACATCATTTGTGTGTTTATTGTCGTTTTCCTAAGACAACATAACCTTTCATACCAACCATACACTGATTTCTTCAATCAACCTTCGAAACTGTAGCTCATCACTCTCATCACTCTCATCATGACATCTTCATATCCTCCCGAGATTTCGACAAAAGAATCAGAACAACTTCTCGTAACCATCAAAGATTGGTCTATAGCTCATGGATTGGCCGTAAGGCCTCCACCGACATTTTTGTCTACAGAAGCAGATCCTCACGGTGTCTTAGCGACTACTGCTCCAGTCACTCTCTTTCCAAGTCCTTTCCCTCGGATATGCTTTGAGCAAGCCAAATCAGTCCAGAAAGCTTATAATCTCTTATACGCATCGATTTCTCAAGATGAGGCCTTTCTTAAAGATATCGTTCAAGAGTAAGAAGATTCGAATGGTATTCCACTTTACCATTCTTCTGTTTCAATGGGCGTTGTATGAATTCTAACTATTTTTAGAATCCTCGAAGTAGATGACTTCATTGCCGAACTTTGGCGTGTTCATGTAAAAGTCAAGAGTGAAGGTTATGTCCAGGTATACTATCTTGACCACCAAATTAATTACAAGTGATTGAGATACTGATTGTAAAGAATCTTTCTTTGGGCCTTTTTCGATCAGATTACATGGTTCATCAGGAAACATCGGATGCAACGCCTACGATTAAGCAGGTCGAATTCAATACTATTGCTTCTTCATTTGGAGGATTATCCTCCCAAACTTCACAATTGCATAAGTTTGTGTCTATCAATACTGAAATAATTTCTGCATGACTGACCATCTTGTTAGATATCTTTCCTTGGGTGATTATAGCCTTTTCAATAAGGATGCAACTAAATCGCTGGATCTCCCTGAGAATACAAGTACCAGATCATTAGCATTAGGATTGTTATCGGCTTTTGAACACTACAAGGGAGCCGCCCCCAACTCTGACTACGATTACTGTACAATCTTCTTGGTTCAAACACCAGAAAGAAATATCTTTGATCAAAGACACCTTGAATATGAACTTCAAAAGCGCGGTGTACCAGTATTTCGACTAGCATTTTCAGAGGTTCTTACCCATACCACAATAGCTCAGACTCCAAAGAGAGAGTTGTTATATTCACCATCAAGTAACCCCTCGAAGAAATTTGAGGTTGCTGTTGTCTATCTCCGTGCGGGATATGGTCCCCAAGATTACACAACTGAATCTGCTTGGGAGGGTCGTTTTCAAATCGAGCGGTCAAATGCAATTAAATGCCCATCAATTTTGACTCAATTGGCTGGAGCCAAGAAAGTTCAACAAGTACTTGCTACACCAAGAACTCCCTCTACACCTTCAATCCTAGATCGCTTCGTCAAGACAAATGACGCGGATCTCGAGAAACTGGAAGATACATTTACAAACATTTTCCCACTCGACGAAACTCCAGCAGGACTCGAAGCTCGTAAAATCGCTGTCGATCCAGAACGCTGTAACGGATATGTCCTGAAACCTCAACGGGAAGGCGGCGGTAATAACATCTACCGCTCCGCAATCCCTCCGTTCCTCAAGTCTCTTCCAGAGTCTCATTGGAAATCCTTTATCCTGATGGAAATTATCACTCCTCCACCTGTTCACAACATGATTTTGAGAAACGGTGTTATTGAAAAGGGTGGTGTAATCTGTGAGCTCGGTATTTATGGAACATGTCTATGGGATCAAACAACCTCGCAAATTTTGCATAACGAGGAAGCAGGATACCTTCTCCGAACAAAGGGTGATAAGAGTGAAGAGGGTGGTGTGGCTGCTGGTTTTGGGTCTATGGATAGTGTGGCTCTTGTTTAGTATTTATTCCCGATACAGCAAAGTTTTAGAATCGGGAGGGCGACTAGATACGACGACCGAAACACATGCTCCATACATTTGTTCAGCCACATTTCAATCAGATCTATTCTCAATATAGCAAAGGCTTTGAGACTCGTGGCAAAAACTAGATACGGTGACCTGAACAAACCTAGCATGTCCCAGACATAGCTTTAGCCACAAGTCATTCAGGAGTTTCTTCGGGGAACTCATTAAGCAGCCGTCTAAACTAGACCGGAATCTCATATAACGCGCTAGAACTATTCTTCCATTATTCAAACTCCCTTCTCGCTCCTAAGAGAACCCGGAAGACACATCAACCCAACTAGTAATCCAGGGAAACCTTATTAGTAGCCGCATTCCCGGTGAAAACTTGTGAACTCGCTTACAACGACATGCCTTCTTTTATACCATCACCATTGTTGTCCTTGTACATTTTTATCATCCTTTACGTTCCATTTTATTTTTGCATTTTATCTTACTTCTTGCTTCTATTTTACGTGTATGAAGGAATTCCACACGCGTCATGTGTGCTATGTTATTTTCGTAAACCTTATCAAAGTAAATGTTTATGGGCGCCAAGGGAACTAGCTTTCAAGCTGGGGGCCACACGATTCCTATTCCCGGTGCAGGAACAAAATTCAGGTCCCATTACATACACTCCAGAGATCAATAGACTCAAGGATGTACCGGATAAATGAATCACACGAAGGTAAACATAAGTTTTTTGATCACCTTAAATTCATGCCGAGACGTCGACGGGTTGAGGAGATGGCCCAAGTCTCCATTCTTAGAGTTTTGAGAATAGGTAGGTGATTATTTCTGAGATGGCGAATTGCAAAGATGGTAAATATTATTGAATTTCTTCACGTCTGTATCTTATCAAAAAATTTGTTGGGTATTTCTATTATCGTGTCCGAATTTGCGTCCAGTAAAGTACAATCGTCATATTAATCAAGTCAAATGCAAATAAAGTAGTTGCTTTGTTTTCCGAATACATTTTGATACTCAGTGGTTCCATAAGAACGCTCTGGATTGAATGAGGCTATGACATGAAAAGTAAAATCAGCGAATGGGCCAAATAGATCGGAAATAAATCAGTTGCTCTATTTCCAGTGGAATTTAGAGTTCGACAGAGTCTTCAACTTAGACCGAGAGATAACTATCGATTTGAATGCAAGCACGAAAAGCATTAGGGAACTCCTGAGATTGGGTCTAGATTGCTCTTGTAAACAATCCAGATTTAAGTGCCAGAGAAAGAGGAGTGACTATTCATTAATGTTGATCTCATCAAAAGTCGATGTTGTTCGAGGACCACTTCCATGCGTTTGATCTACCCCGCAGCATAGATGACTGTATAATTTGCATTCGAGCGGTTAAAAATCAAAGCTGAATGACCGATGACTTGCTTGATCGTAAATCAATATGAAATTCGGAGAATCTTTGGCCATTGATTCCGGCGATTGTAAATAGTCTCCCTTTATTATTGTGAATACTAGGTACTAGCATGGCAGCGGGGTTACGAGTCTATATGTCAAACTTCCTTACTGCAAAACTCTATTATGGAGATCTCCGACAAAGAATCAATTAGCTAGCTGAACAAGTCACATTACCTGCGTTCCAAATACGATTTACCAGAAGGTTACAAGGCTCAAATGAAAAAGAAGCAGCAATAATACCCGAAAACTGATGTGTTCACTGCAACGTTATCATATTCCACCATTTTCCTGATTTCTCTCTTGGTTGACTTTTAATTTTTAGTTTGTTTTGCACACGATCTTGCACATCTAGCTTTTCAAGGGCTTGCTACAATACGTTCGCACACCTTTCGTGTCGCCGATTTATTCCTTTGCAGCAGTCTCCCCGCATTGTTTCCCATGTTAGCTTCATTCCCTTGGTACCACATATGACAAGTCTCAAAATAGTCTTCCGCCTTTGTTCCCAAATTTCCTGCATATCCGCCTGCACATACCCCATACCTTTCAACGCATAGTTGCCGAATACGACTCACATCTTCTCGTCCTTGCACCATTTGTCGAATGTCTTCCCTTCGCCTGCCCCACCGCTGCACTCTTCGAACTCGGCACAACGGATGGAACGACTTCCTCACGTTTCATTGACCTTGTCGCTCACCTACCACGATGGGGTGGACAGTTCAGTAATACATCGATACGGAAACAATCAGACGTTTCATCTCCCATTTCATCCACCTTTTCATCTATCTTTTCACACACGCGGCATTGTTATATAGGGTAGAGCAGCAGAAAATATAAGGATCTGATTTACCTGCCAAGTACCGTACCTGTGGTGCTGGTATCAATGAACCCACAAGAATACTGGGAAACGTTTCTATTGAGGGGAAAGGTATCTCGGTGCCATTGTAATGATAAACACATCGATAGAGTAAAACTCATGTAAATTGGACTCGGATAATCCTTTTGAATGTGATTAAATCCTTGAATGTGTAAATTTCCTGCTGTCAATTCTCTTCATGCTTCATATTATACAGGTTTCATAGAGTTTTATTTTTTTCTAAATAAAAGATGTCTTGATATTTTATGTGCAGAATTTCATTTTCTAGTCGGCATATTTCGATAACACCGTTCATCATGCATCATTTCTTACAGAATCGATTTCTCAAATCAATACGGGTCAGACATTCGGTATCTAGGTCAACAATCACATCAACACAAATTCTTGCGCGCCAACATCTGGGTAAACAAAGCAGCTCACTCAGAATAAACAGCCGACCGTTTTCTGTTCAGTGCAATAAACCAACCATCTCTGCCGGTTCTTCTCCAAGAAGATCTTCATAACTAGACATTTACCACCTACGCTGCTTATCCAGTATAGAAATACACTGATAATACATAATATGATAGGATCTGGGACTATGGATATGCTTGGCCCAATCTGCAAGCCGGCGTGCACGTCACATGATTTTTCTTGACTCACCAAACTATCAGGCAATTTCAGTATGAAACCTTAGTTTCTTGGTTTGACACTTGAAATGCTAGCTCATGAATCGGGGTAAATCGGGTTTCTCCACATGGGTCATCTATTCAATTGAGAGTATTTTCAATCTCGAATTCACAGCGAGAGAGATATTTGATGGATCTGTTCATGGGTATTGTTAGAATCCCTGCTTTCTGGAGAATTAGATTTGTGAATTTCGATAGAATTCATATACATGGTCATCAATGATGCTCAGTACCTGCTAGAGATGTAGTGTAATCGAGGACTTTGTTGATAGGAAATTCAGTTTTGTTACGTCCGCTAGCATCTAGATTAAATGGTCTAGCTTATCAACACTTGGTCAACAGCGACCCGGTATGGCTCGAAGGGGTTTTCATATCAAAAACTAGTCATTTTTAATCAACCATAGTATGCGCTATTGTGGGCTAGAGAGTATTTTATTTAATCCTGAAATCCATGATTTGTATCCGTCCAAGATGTTGGCTTCGAAAATAAGCGAATGGTGATACTTTTAGGTTCGCACGCCAAGCGAGTCGATGACCCTGACCTTGAGACTTTTCGCAACATGTGTTCTGAGGATTGTATAGACATGCATTGTGATGATATCAATATGCGGAAAAGATAGCAGCATTAAGTGGAATCTCCTCATCAAATTGATGCCCAACATCCCACAGAATACTGAAGTAGATCACTTGACGGAGCAAGCTTTCAGGAGTTTATCGGAGGACAAATTTTCGCTACTATTGAAAACTATATGGTTCTGAAGACTGGTACAGCGCTTATTATTGCTCATTCTTGCTAGAGTTTGCACTTGCGCTATTTAGAGGTTGATGTTAAGTTCAGTCAACAATTTCCTGTTGTCATCTCGGGTCTCAAAGCTTGCCTGGATTGTCCCAGAATTTGATATCGAAACACGCGAACACTAACTTAGGACATAGCTACCTGTATCTAGATCGAGAAGGGACTCAAAGTGAAGCAGCTCCAAAGCACCTAGTTACACGTTGTTTAGATCATGAAAGAACTCAAAGTGACCCAGCTCGGTAGCACCTGCCCAAAATTCTCAACAAGCTCTGAAAAAGACCGTTAGAGAGGCAAGATAAGTATGTTTCTTAGGATTTTTCGGTCATGTAGATATGCACCATTTCATACATGCCTCGTATGGTGCTCATAATGCTATACGTTTACCGCTGAGCGGTTGTGTGTCATATTGGATTATCGAGTTTATTTAAGTCAACGGACCAAAGTAAGTTTGAATGACAATATGACTGATGAAGTTTTCAATTCATTAGCTAGTTGAGCTAGATATTACCAGACTAAACTTATAGTCAGTCTGAATACAAATCGAAGAAGTGTCCTCAAAAATAAAGGTATAAGTATCTCTGTCAGACCCCAGTAATTTCGAGTTCGAGTAGCTGTCATTCATCACATTCATCGCATTCATCACATCCTACAATCATCTTTAAGTAAACCCAACCACTTACACACAACATTAACATTCAATTCACAATGCCAATTAACGTACCTGGACTCGACGCTGCGGACCTTCGCCGTTATATCAACCTCGGTTAGTATATCAATTGACCCTATCGAACCCCTTCGTCCCCTCTACTCCCCTTAATCACATCCCCATATCAGTCATATTAGCCGAAATAGCACACTGCTCCTATTTTCATTGTTTTGTTTGCTGATAATCGTACTAGATCTACATGTCGGGAACTTTGCCCCCGCTGTCCCTGCTGTCCCTGCCCCTGCCGCTGCCCCCGCCTTACCCGCTGTCCCTGCTCTCCCTCTCCCGGCTGTCCCTGCTCCTGCCGCTGCCTTCCCTCTCCCGGCTGCCCCTGTTCGCCCTCTCCCAGCTGGTAGTAATGCTCCGGCTGTAGTTGCTGCTCCTGTCGTAGAGCAACCAGTCCCTTCGTGGCCACATAACCCCAAGCGCATAACTAATAGTCACCAAGCCCTGAGTAAGAACCTCCTTGCCTGTCATCTCTCCTCATTTGGGACAATCAAGAGCTAACCTTTTCAAAAGCTATCTGGCCAAGTACCAGCAACAAAAGTAAAACCCTGAACTACGTGCAGGGCAAATATGAGCTTGTTCGTGGAGGAGGCAATGTTGTGGGTTCCCGGGATTGGCTGCGCGAGAGACAACCAGGAGCCCGTCAGCATGGCGCTGCCTGGTTTTTGGTTAGCTTGTTGGGGCGGAACGGCTGGACCAACAACAGAGTCATTGTTGACGCATACACGAGAATGTTTGAATCATGCGTCGACAGGTTTGCCGAAGTTGTTGGGGACCCCGAAAAGTGCATCGACCAGTGGAGGAAGGCGGAGGCTCTTGTCCGCCAGACTTTGTCCAAGAGTCAATACAATAACTTGTTCATCAATAAGAATGATGCAAGCATTGTTGGGGATGAGGCAGCGGGGGGTGAGTGTCTTTGGCGTCTTAGACAGCCTGGGGACCCCGATAAGCCAGTACCGACGAAGGGCAGGAGAGGCTCTAGATCGCGTGGAGATCGCGACGGGGACGGTCCCGCTGGTGACCCAAATTCCGCTTACAAAAAGCGCGATGGTGGCCCAGAAGACCAACCCGCCGCCAAGAAGCGCAAGGGCCTCTTGACTGGCGGATAAGGAGCGCAGGGTGGGGAGAGGGGGATGCCAGGAAAAACGGTACTAAATTTCCTGGACTGGTTGTTCATGCCATCTTTGAACAATCTAGTATGGATGATGGGCCCTTAGTTGAATCGGTGTCGTGATTCCTGGAGCAGCTTGTAGCATTGTTGACATCATGACCTTGAGCTACGACTTCCTTCCTTCATTCCCCGGTGGGTTCGATCCCCACCATTTTTTGACGGTATGATTTGGGATTTGATGGGATGAAGTCAACAGTGGCTCTTGGTTCATGGTCAACACTCTGCATTATGTCGGCACAATCATAGCAGTTTGGAGTTATTTGTGCGCTTGCTTCCTGTGTCTGCAACTGGTATGACCTTTTCTTCCATGAATTGGAGAGAAACGAAACGCCTCAACATAGGGAACCCCAGACCCTCAGGTGTCCGTTCTTCCAGTCTTGGTGCTTGGAAAAGATATCATATGATTGGTAGACACAGCGCGTTGTTTTATTTCCTTATTTGATTTTTTCCTTCTTGAATATTGCCAGCCTCTGAACATGGTTTTTGCTCCTTCTAGATCAGAAGGAGAGTTTCCCATGCTCTTTACACAAATGTGGGATGATGGCACAGTGGATAGTATTAGCAATTGCATGTTTCAGTAGTTTATAATCATCAAAATTAAACTAATGAACAAATCAGATGTGAAGTGAAGAAAGTAAATTCATGATTTGAGATGGTAGCTGACTTGTGATACCCTTATTGAGAAAGGTGCCTTGACTGGTTATGTTCTCTTCAACGTCTTCTCTTACATACTGCCTTGAAAGTATGGTACCTTTTGCGCCGCCCAAATTCGATATTACATACACACTCGAATCGAAAAGTAAGTCTTGTTACATCCCATCATCCGTCCAACTTTCATAGAATTCATATATTCATGGCCAATTGATCTATGCGCTTACATCTTGAGGCTTCTTGAATTGGAGGACGTCGATTTTCTCTGTTTGATATGGGTTAGCTAATGCTTTGGGAGGGTTTAACGATATTTTGGAAAGAGTACTTACGTTGAACTGCGCTCATAGAACTTCTGTTCTTCCCATCGGCATCTTGGTAGTTATTCATTTGTGCCTCAGCTTCTACATATACCAAGGTTCTAAACGTACATCAGCATTGGATACCTTTGAGATATCCTTTTTTTGCATTCCCGAGCTCAATATCTGCCTCTGCCTCTGCCAAAATTCATATGAGATGTACCCATACTGGAGAGATTTCTTCCTAAGCGGTTCTCTCCAGCTATCAAGAGATCAAAAGAACTTACCCCTTCTCCAAATTCGAAATGAAATCTCTCTGTGGTCCCTCTGGCAAGAAGCTCACTACCCGAAACCAACTAGTCTTCTGATTCTCTCCTCTGCCAGTGCTAGTACCAACCGCATATTTCATGATTTCTTGTCCTTGGCTTGTAGCAGTTATTTCAGGCTTATCAGCGAGACGACCAATAAGTGTGAGTTTGGCGAAGGTATTATTGCGGGCGCTGGTAGAGAAGCTGCGAGAGAGGGTGGATGGAATATTGCGGCGGAGAGCGAACATCTTTACGGTTCTGGAGGAGTGTAAGATTTGAAGTTGGTTGGTGGAAAGAATGTGGAATTTTAATGGATGTGAATTAATCGATTTTGATTTTTTTCCTTCTTATCGCCGTTTCTGTGTTTTGGTGGGCATAAATTCTGAGATGAGTTGGAGCTTTTGCCTGAGGCATAAATATCAATTATACCCCTGGTGCGTGCACTTACGAGCATTTCGAGGTTCACAAGAAGGGCCATACCATTGGGATTTCTATCAACTGAGACAATGAGACAACTGAGGACAAAAATCTGGGGAAAACTTAGCTTTGATTCTTTACCTTTGAGATCATTGCAATTACCAGGTACTGAGGTATAAATTCCGATTGAAAGCACAGCATTGAAGATATAAAGCGACAAGCAACAAGTAAATAGCAACGAGCAACATTAATTCCATTGGGATTCGTTGTGTTAAGATTGAGGAAACTTCATCATTTGTTAACCAAGGGAGAATTCCGACCGATAACACAGCATTGAATATAAAGCAACATCGATTCTATTGGGCATCCTTGCGTGATATGATATTTGGGAAGATATACTACTTTCGCTATTGAATTCTTCGATAGATCACCTACCCAACTTAGCAGGCATCCCGATTGACAAACAACCACACGACAATCAAAATGAAGTAGGATTGACACCATTGGGAATGTTGCGTCTTTACATTTACGCAGTTGGAGCAGTTGAATGTACGCCATTCTTTATTGACACCTGAACGAGGGTTTCTTTGAATGCAGCGTCGCAGGAAGAGTTCGCAGGAAAAGATATCTTGACATCTCGATATCTTGGAATCTTGGAATCTTGGAATCTTTGGAGGTCGCCGATCAAACCCAACTCGTTTTTGCTTCCTTACGATGTCTTACTTCCGCTATGGTCACCCAATCCTTCTGAATGCTCGAACACGAAAGGTTCAAGATCATGCCAGCAGATCCCCAAATAAATATAACGTCTTGTCATCACGGATACGAGCATCATATGTGCATCTCTTTATCCAAGAGATTTTCAGTTCAACCATCTTTTTTAATGCCTTATATGCTGGTCTCAGCTACCACAGTCACAAACTTTATCTACCCGAGACGGTGTTACTCATGATGTCCTGTACTATCACCATCATCTTGGTTGGAGACTTTCTAGATGGTCGTTCCTGTATCACTTGTTGATGTACTCCAGACTTTTTTAATCTGCAGAAATTGAAATCGTGGTATGGATTGCATGCTTCATCAGAATCACTTCGCATGAAGGATTACAGCTCTTCACCAACGCCATCCCGCTCCCCATCCCCCCACACCATTGAAGATTGTAAGTCTTTGTATCACAAGTTCGAATGGATTTTCTCTTGAAGTTGGTTCATACTGGATCTTTTACCCTTTTAAGAAGTGCGGCATGTTACATCGATGCATCGAAGTAATTATTGGCATGAAACGGAGACTTCTTTCCAAAAGTATGATAGGTCGGATGAACACCGGAAGGCTAACAGTGTGCGAGCGGGATAACGAACGAACGGAGTGAACCGAAAAAGACCGGAAAATGAAGGGGGAAGGTCTAAAAGACACTCTTGTACCTGAAGCTAATCCTTATCGAGAATTGATTCCTTGAAAATATCGAAACAACTCCCGGAATTACTACACTACCTACCTAGCATCTAATTTTTCAACCTAACATTAACATCTGGCATCTGCTGATTGTGCTTAGGTTCCTTAGTTCTGAGTACTCTGTACTTTTGAAACCATTCCCGGCATACGAAAGGTACCTAGGTACACAGTTAATGCTGGTCAGGCAATATGTACCATCAAGCACACATCGTTAAGCAATATATATTGTCCAAGCAATATGTACCGGTTATGCAATGCACAGCTTATTTTGTATCTTCTTCCTTCTAGCTCATCCCGAACATTGGGTAAAAAAGAAACCATTCAATTATATGGTTAGTTATGTTCCAACAAGAATATAGGAAAAAAAGCAAGAAAATTGAAGAAAAGAAAATAGGTCAGAGAGACGGGAGGTCAAGATCATTAAAAAGAAAGAACGAAAGAAAAAAAAAGAAAGTCGACGATCAATTGATCGACTATAAGTCAGGCTCAGTATGGTCAATGCTAACTATAGTACTCAGAATGATCGGTAGATCTCCCCACAGCTCCATTTTTGATAGTAACCTAATCTCGCTACAATGAGTCTAATACGATTTTCAATCTACTTCAGGTCACAAATTTCTTGATTAGATTCAATGGGATCATTGAAACCTCGACTAGGCAAATCAAATCCATCAGAAACTTCAGACAGATCTGACAGACACGGCAAGCAAATGAATTCCCATTATTTTGGGCCGAAATCCAAGCTTTTTTCTCCGATTCACCGAGTATCGACTCTCGAACAGATCAATTCATTTCCCCTCCATAAAATTTGGATGTGGCTTTGACGTTAAGAAGAGAAAAAAAGTAAGGTATACATACTTTCGTGGCACTGCATCGCATTGTTCGTGATCCCTACACTCCCAATTCTTTACTTTCATGCATCATATTTTTCGTATTGCAGACGCCTTCCTGTAAGTACAGGATGTTAACTTTCAAGGCGGGGGTTATGTCAAGCTGCAGGACAAATGTATCCATCAATGGGTCTGTTTTATACCAACACCCAAGATGAGTCTACCTTGCAGTAGATCACCGCGGTCCGCGGTCCGTCGAGAGTTCCATGTCGAATCGTTCATCGCATGCACACTGATTTCTAAGAACACATAAGAACCAACCATGCACAAACCCACCCACTTTGTACCAGACGATTCATCATCGGATAGCGTAATTTCTCATAAACGCCTTCGCGCCTACACTTAGTATCTCCGTTAAAGTTAAGTACCTTTACCTTCCACATTTTCATCGGGTCTTGACATGACTTCATAATATACCTTCTCATATCTTATCTGTTTTCAGATGAACTATCAAGGCTATTGGCACACTACCTCACGCCTCGTTCTAAACATTCGTTACACCCCCCTTTTCCTTGTTCTATAATCCTTATTTTTCTTCAGTTCTCAGTATCCGTGTTTCATTTCTATGCTACCCATGTTCGAAGCCATTCACACTACACGTCTATACACTGAGGGGAGCTTTGACAATAGTCTCCTGTTCCACCAGGACTACTTTTCTTTATCTTATGATCTAATACTAGACATCCGGGTCTAGTTCTAAGAGTTTACACAATGCAGATCAAGGGGTCCATGTTGCTGGTATTGGGGGCTTCGATTCAATGGGCTTTCACTGCACCATGGGATGTTCAGGTCCAGGAACGCGACAACTCAGTAGCTCTATCTCCGACGATCACTTCTACCTCATCGTCGATCTCGAGTAGTGCGAAAGAATCGCAAGAAAGCAATGATAGCTTCACGTCCGCCTCAACCATCACACACTCGCAAAGTACTTCTTTGACAATGACTACATCAACTTCGAATACAGCAATGTTGACTTCGACCGCCTCGGCATCCTCGATTAGCGCAACAGCTACAAGTATATCCGTCACAGATTCAGCTTTCAATTGTATGAAAAGCCTGCCCTCATTAGACTTTGACAAGATGCTGACATTGAAGCAGCTACAATATCACCCGGCGAGTTACCTCTCCAGCCCGAGATCACACCAGCGTTTGTCATCGCAGGAATTGTCCTCATCGCTACTGGCGTATTATATACTTTCATTGGAGTCAAGAACAAATGGCTGCATATCTCCCTTTCAGCAGGATACCTTGTCAGCATTGCAATCACGGTCCTGATTCTTTTTGTAATGAATCTTCCCGTTAGCAATGCGGTCGAGGGAGCATATCTCGTTGCAATTGTGCTACCCGGGCTCATCATTGGCGGGTGCTCTTTGATATTTACAGAGGTGACTGAGGGCCTTGGATGTCTTTTGGGAGGCTTTTGCTTCAGCATGTGGTTGCTTGTGATGAAAGCTGGCGGATTGATTACTTCAACAGCCGGGAAATCGATTCTGATTGCAGCGATCAGTATTGCTGCTTTCTCACTAACCTTCAGTCACTACACTAGGACATATGGATTGATCGCATGTATATCGTTCGCCGGTTCCACAGCGATCGTTCTCGGGATTGATTGTTTTAGTAGAGCCGGCCTAAAAGAATTTTGGGCTTACATTTGGAACTTGAATCAGAACCTTTTTCCACTGGGCGCAACTACATACCCCGTGACAAAAGGAATTCGTGTTGAGATTGCCGCAATTTTCGTCATCTTCTTAGCTGGTCTAGTTTCACAATCAAAAGTCCACGAGATGATCCAAGATCACCGCGCGCAGAGATTGGCAGAGCGCCAAGAAATCGCGAGGGTTTTAGAAGAGGAGGAAATGAGTGTAGGAAGGAGAATTGAGGATCAAAATATCGCAGAAAAAGGAAGATGGGAAAAAGTATACGGCGAGAAGGTCAAATCGGGAGATGAATCAACACATGATTCTGTAGTGGGTGATTTGGAGGATTCAAAACGAGGGCATTCTAGCACCATTACTTCTATTATGGAACTCGATGGAACAGAGGTTGAAATCTCTGGCAAATCTTTACCTACTGGATCAAATGTTGCTGGTCTTGTTATGTCGAGTGGAAAAGGGCAAGATGGAGCTGTTACAGTACGCGTTGCTCGAGACGCGGCCCCCAAAGTTGAGCGAATCGAAGATAAAGTTGCTATCCCTTCGCGCCAGTCGAGTCGAAATTCGGGCAGATCTCAACCATCCGCAAATCCAACTGGAGATAGAGCTGTGGTTGTTAACAACGAAAGTATCTACCTAGCAAGTCTACCTTCACTACGTCCTACGAGTAAAGCCCCTCCTCCACCAATGACAGTCGCACCAGAAGTAGTGCCTCTTCCTTTTAAGATTCCCGAAGACGAGATGGAGGATAATCGATCTTCGATTGCTACTTCTCCCGACGAAGAGCTAGCGGTTAACGGCAAAACTTTGAAACGTACACCCAGTCGCGGCTCAGCATTATCCAATAAAATCTCTACTCGATCAAAAAGAGTATCACAAAGGTGTTCGGAAGAACAAGGTATCAACACAGAGGATTTGGCGACTCCTTATGCCGATGAGACTGATCGCGCAAGTTCTATCGCTGCAACTGTGGATGATCTTAGCGACGATGAAGACAGGGAGGTAGGAAGTATACGTTCATCAGTTGTTAGCGAAGGCACTCCTATACCGGATGTGGAGTTCCCAGCACAGGATGATCAAAATGACGAGCAAAGTCCAGAGCTGGTGACGGTGAAGTTGACGACTGAATCGCAGGAAGCCTCATCGGGACAGACTCCTTTGTCCCCAAAGAATTCCACAACTGAAGATACAGATGATAAGGTGGCTGGTGAAACGTCTGATGTGCGACAGAGTTTGGAGCTTCGGCCAGAGTCGGGAATTACTGTTGCCACTGATATTCTCAACACTCCCCGAAATGAATTATCCCCGGATGAGTCAATCCCACAGCAGGACTCGTTAACAACGTGTGGGGATCCAGTCCCGAACACGTCAAATTCCACTGTTGGGGAAAGTCTTGAAGATGCTGACAATGGAACTGAATCAAAGCTTAAGACAGAGTCATCCATTACATCGGCGCCTGACACAAAGACCACGAAAATCACGAAGGATCAATTGCCTGCTCAGTTCTCAAAAGTTGTTATGTCATATCGTACCAATGAATGGGCCAAACACTTGAGTCATGCAGACTCACCCGAATTGGAGGAATTGGATATTTCCGAAAATGTATCCGAGGATCCCAAGTCTGAATCGGCTGTTCCCGTGGATGTCGAAGCACTTCAACAAACAGCTCACAATGCTCTTCCTCCTCCAGCAGTACGATCGTCTTCTCAACAATCAATCTCTCCAGCTCTTATCCGGTCAAGCTCAACCCAGTCAAATATCACGCCCTTTGCGACGATACCTGAAGGTTCTCCTATTCATGGACAGGATTCATCGACACGAAACTCCTCGCAACAACCATTGGGAGGATCTGAAGTGTATCGATCATTGCGCAATATTTCAAATCCAAACATTCCAGAGGCAATAGTCGAATCATCTGGAGAAGAAATTTTATCTTCCCAACAACACATTGCGCAATCGATTTCCCCTGCATTCGGAAATCCTAATACACTAATGGAAAAACGAGACACAATGCTCCGCAATAGATCATCTTACTTCCCCACGAGAAACTTTTCTACACATTCCATGCCGATACTTGAAACAAGCCCACAATCTCCCTCACGATTTCAATCTGCGTCACATTTTCAAATGGGTGGCGAGACCGGATTAATTCATAGCCCTTTGCGGTCTTCCCATTTCAACAAATCGGCGCCAATCCTTGCCGAATATGATGATATACCACTTTCTCAGCGTCGTGAACTCATTCGTCAATCTACGTCTCAACCTCTAGCTGCCCCTAATACAAACCCTAATTCACATCAACCGAAACGCACATCGAATGTTCAAACTCCATTGGTTAGAGAACAGCAATTGGCGATGTGGAGAAACAGTATTGCAAATGATTTGCAAGTGCAGAAGAAGAGGGAAATGGAGACAGTTGATAATAGGAGGAGTGTACTTTGGCAGGAGAGAAAAACAGTGGAAATGAGAAGAGAAGGGGAGAGGAGAGCAAGGGAAATGAGGGAAGAGAGATGGGAGGGAAAAATTAGGACAGCTGGTGGGGAGATGGAAGAGTTGCATAGAAAAATGATGAGTCGGATGCAAGGTGAGGCGAGGAAGGTGCTTTGATTTGGGAATCAAGGTGGCGAGGAACGAAAAATAGGATTGAAAGTGAAGGGTAATTCTTAATGGTTTAACTTTTGGATGGCCGAGATAAAATTCTTGTATATATGTATATCTACGGTTTGGGGAGATAATCTGATGGACGGATTGGGAATGGTGTTGGATGAAAACACGATACATGAGTTGGGAAGCAGGACAACATGTATTATCAAATACAACGGGATCAACGATACAGAAAATACGGATTTACTGACAACCTGCTTTGGGAGAACCCCCTATGGATGGAATGGCACTGGCACTGACGGGAATAGGAGAAGATCCATCGTATGTAGTATTTGCCACATAATTGGACATACTATTCAGGTGATCGATCTTGAGAGAGATATCTAGGAGCCGAGAGGCATAGATAGACTCATTAATAATGAAAGATTTAATTATCTACTACACTACATCGTAGCTTGTGAATCTTAATTCTCCCGATTTTCTTCCTGAACTCTAATGACAACAAGCCGATCACTACATTGAATCACCGAAATGTAAGTCCAAATCCAACTCACCTTCCCCAGATCCCAACACCAAACAACGCACGCAGTAAACTAACTAAAGTACGGAGTAGAAACATCATACTTTGTACACGAAGTTACTCGAAGAAAACAGATCATCACCCGGCATTCTGCTGATCGCTCAATTTGTAATTTGTTTCGGACCCGCATGCTTCGAATATTCTTCTGGAAGGAAATTTGATTATGGTTACCAGTTAGAAGTATGCATAGGGTCCACTGATATTCATTTGGTGATCTAGTTGGTGATCCTTGATGCTTGAGGGATGTCACATGTGTCATGTCGGAGAGGCATGAGTGAGGCATTGGGCAGAAAGTGGTGGGTGTACAATGGGATTTGGTGAAATGGGAGGAAATTTTGGGATGAATTTATTGATTTGATTCGAATATTGGTTGGCAGTGTTATGTATTATTTGAGGCTAGGAACGTTACTGTTGAATACGTAGATCAGGAGATAATCTGCAATTCCATGACCGGACATGTCCATTCTACCATCTATGAGAATGTAGTATTGTAACTTTCATCTGTCAATCGAGTCCTACAGTCTGCCAATCTAGTCTCACAAGCTGTCAATCGAGTCTCACATTTCGGACACACCGGAAAAGTGGCTATGATAATTTATATCGCCATGCCATACATAACATGGATGCAGGCAGTATCAGGGATTTAGCATTTAACAAAAGTCCTTTCTTTTTAAGTTTAGATCAGATGAGAAAGTTGGAGCCTCAGCAAGGCTTGCAGTGATAAATATAGATGAGACTATTAAAGCATGAGGTGGTGGCCCCTTCAATTATCAACGTCATATGGTGGTATCATGCCCTCTCAATGCAATTTCGTAGAGTGAGCTAGGGGCTGATGAGTATAACGAGGCTGAAAGTATAATCGAACCTTTTGAAGATCTTAGGATTATGATTTGACATGTAACCTAATTTTTTGGGGGAGATCTAGAAGTTGTTTGTAAAAAGCGCTAGCTTGAAGCTATCGATATGTAGGCTTTCAGGGGTAAAACTCGGGAAGGACGAGCTAGCATTTCATTTCCGAGGGGTTGGATTGGGTCAAATCTTGAAAGTTGGAAAAGGATTGAATTTGAGTCCAGTTTCAACGACGTACAGTAGTTTTGAACCAACTAGAAACTCCTTATGAAGCAAGAGAATAAATCATCATATCAATCATATTATCAGTAATGACATACCTGGAGAATATCAGTGGTAGCATCCCATACCTAGATCTGGGCCCTGTACGCTCAGACATTTGGAAATTTGGAGACTCAAGTTCACCAACTAATGATAAGTTGGCATAAAAATTTAGATGAAGGAAGTATTCTCAGGGCTTCTTTTGGATGGCCAATCAACATCAATATTTGAAAATCCTCGAGGGTTGGATTGGCCATCGCTTTTATAGTTGGTTAATTTGGTGCTTTTATAGCACACTTAAAACAGCTGCTACAGAGCACAAATGCGAAGTCCCTTTTCCCCAAGGAGCTGAGCCATGGCGTAGTGTCGGCTTAGATGCTCCTTGGTGGTGTTATGGCTATGTAGCTACCGGCTGATTGCTCGCCCTTGCTTCGAGAGCCTTAGGAATGAGCAGGTGAATGAGTAGGAACCTAGGCAGATAAAGATGAATAATGAAGTGAACCATAAACGTTGGTACCAAATCACCAAATAAGAAAAGGGTATTCAATGTACCCAAGCTTTGTGTCCCCAAAGTTTCAAGGTTGAAATACTCCGTATAAAGATGCTTTTAGCTGCCTGGGTATAAATCCAGGGGTTTGAATGAGTTGAGGCAAGTAATTTTATTAAGAGATGTGACTTGGGATGGGAATACTAGATACACCAGGTGGTTGATATGATAAGATATCGTTGATGTATGTTGAATCCGTCTCATATTATATATGAGACTTGATTCTTTTCTTTTGAAGTCTGAACTTTGAACTTTGAACTTTGCTTGGATCTGCTTGCTTACTTTCTACTTGTCTTCACCGCGATATCTTGGACTTCAATTCTTAGCCTGTGATTTCTGTACTACTGTACCTACTTCTAATTCCCCCGACTTTTGGTTGATGACGGCAGGAATTTAACTGGATTATTCCATTTTGACTTTTCTATATATTTATATACCACTTCGTATACCTACCGAGCGACGAGCCTACTCCTCAGCCGTCTTGCTTTTTTTCCCTCTCCAAAGCATACCTAGCTTTCACGTCAACTCAAGTACTCGAAACCCTTTGAACCGTATACGCATATATATATATATACACATATATATCATACCTCCTAAAAGATATTCAACTCAAAAATCACAGTTAGACATGCACAATCGAAATGGAAAAGAAGATATTTACTGAAATATCAGGCATTTCAGGCATTTCATCACACTCAGCTCAACAAGCGAATCAAAAACTTCAATTCCTGCAGGACTCCTATCTAACTGCATCACATTGCATTAGTACGAATCCCATTACAATTCCCCACGAAGAATCCTTTCGATTGAAGGGTAAATATTTCAAAATTTCGACATCTATTCGACTACAAAGTCGCCTAAATAAAATTCGATCATCAATAATAATAATCATAATAACAACAATACCGAAAGAGGAAGGGGCAAAGGTTGAGCAGAAGCAGGAGAAGAGGAAGAAAAGAGACTTGCACTTATCGAAAATAGCGGCCAATAATCCGGCCGCAAATTCCCAACGGCGTCACACACACCAAACCTACCGACCACCATATCTCCATCCACCATAGGAATTACCAATCGACCCAATGCCCCTCCATCAGCGATTGGAAACGCGAGAATTCCATCCCCGAGTCATCAACCTCCATATCCATCACCAAGCCCTGTGCCAACCAATCGCGATCAACCACAAGTTCGAATAAGTAGTCCTACGAGGTATAGTTGGAGGAACGCTTTACAAGGTGTTGCGAATCCTGGTACAACCGAAACTTTCCCAAATCCCTTTGGGCCTCGCGCTGGCTCAAGAAGTACTTCAAGGGGGAGACCGAGAAGACCAAGTACATCTAGATTGTGGAATCCGACAAATTCAACCCCGAGAGCATATACTCAGACATCTCCAAAGAGACATCAATCACCGCCGGAAGAACGACCGGTTATTGCGATACCACTTCAACATCCAGATATATCAAATTTACGGGAGGGAGCCACTGCTGGCGGCAATTATCCACTATTAACGTTACCGGAACAGCGACAACAAAGACATTCCGCATCTACGAGGGCAAGTTTACAGGTTGATAGGAGTGGAAGTTCGTTAAGTTCGCATCGAATATCTTTACCAAGAACGGTTAGCATAGACCTTGCGCGAAATCGAAAAAGCGGTGATTCTCCTCTTACACCTACTGCTGGACCAAAACTTGATAAGGGCAAAGGAAAAGCAGTCGAAGAAGAACCTGTTATAACTGTTGTGACAACATTGGAAAAGCTTACGGGAAGGGCTCCAGAAGGAAGACAACTTACTCCGACACCTGTCTCGGGCATCTCTTTCGATTTCAGTAAAGCAGCTATGTCTACAGACCTCGAGCGCGGTCCCAATACCCTCAATCCATATAATCCATCTGGCACATCACCGATACCACATGCGAACGATTCAAACACTTCATTACCAGGTGGTATCGGTTCCGCATTATCCTCAAATGGCACATCGATAGTTGGGGAAGAGCCGGGGGAGGGAGATGATGATGCTTGGGGTCCCCAACATCCATGTTTTCCACATATGAATATGCATGTTCCACTCTCATCGCCTTTATACAATACAACACGCATAATACGCATTCGTCGCGATTGGATGTTGGAAGGAGATCTCGCGCCTACATTTTCAAATTTGTACCCAGAGATTTTGGATCCGGCTGGTGTCACGGAACAGGATTTTAGAGGCTTGATTGAGAGGATTAACAATGAATTGATACCGGCTTTTAATCCTTGGGGTGCGAGAAATATCTTCGATGGGTTGATGGGCTTGTTGACGGGTTGGGTATGGGATGATTTGGGTTGGACGGGTGTGAAGTCGCGGTTGAATCGCGTGGAAATGTGGTTGGAGGAATGGAATAGAGATATGGAGTCGAGGGCAAAGGAACCGGGGACAGCTCCAAAAATCGTGAGTTTGAGGAGAACGGGATATATGAATGTGAGTTTTCCCCTAGTAGACATATTTTGACTCGCCTCTATGTAGGAAGGAGAAGTCCTTACTGATGTACATCAAATAGCTCGATATCCAAGTCCCAGATCCGGAAATTTCATATCCCGCCACAATACCTGAATCAGATCGTTTAGATTCGGGCATATCCCAAAATACACATGTCACGGGAATCCCACCAGAACATGAGTTACTAGCTACAATACCTAGTAGAAGTCAGAAGGGTGATCATGTGGAAACCGTTTCATAGGTGATGTTGAGCGATGGGAGTTGTAACATACGTAAGAAAAAAAGGCAGCGGAGAGTGGAAGACAGAGGATGAGGAGAGAAGCAATTTATACCCCCTTTTTCATTTTTACACAGGCGTTTTAGGAGAAAGAGAACAAGAGCATGTTTTGTAGAGGAGATGGAAAGAAAGAGAATGAGGAAGGAAAGAAAGAAAGGGAAGAGCAGTTAATTTGTTTGGAGTTGGAATTGGACTTGGGATTGAAACGCACAGTTGAGAAGACAGACGGGAGTTACATGCATTTATATACTGATTGATCTCAAGATCAAGACTTGCGTTAAAGAAATTCGGGTGGAGTTGTTAGGGATTGCTGTAAGATTGGAAGATGGACAAGAGAAGAGAAGTGAAGAGAAGAGAAGAGAAGAGAGAAAGGGAATGTGAGATGTAAGGGAGATAGAAGGAGTGATGAATATCATGTTATGTTTGATGAGGATTGGTGATGGATAATATGATAGAGAAAGAAGGGTAGGAGTATGTTTATTAGTTGTAAGAGAGAAAGGAGACCCGAGGATTATTTAATAGGTACTTGTACATAGGTGCTGATAATGATGAATGATTGAACTTAGGAACTTGGACCTTTGGGAACTTTGACGTGTCGATTTGCTTTTCCGTCTAATGAGATACCTGTCCAGCTACTTTCATGTATTACAGCAGGCAGTAAAGCGAGGAATTGATGATCTGATCATGATGTGGAGATGTAGTTAGCTACTCAATGCTGTAAACGACCATTTTCATTCTCTCTAAAATCCTTATTCTGTGATCCTCATCGTGTTCATCTGTCCTTATCCAAAGCTCCCTTTCCTTTCCCATTCATTTTACTAGATACCTTTCCCTACAATACCGTATCCATATTGGCGTTCCCGCTCAAAGATTATTGTATGAGGATAGACTTTACGATATATCTTGCATTTCAGTGGTTGCCCCTCACTTCTCACTTCTCACTCGCTTCTCTCTCCTTACAAATCATTTCAGAAGACAAATGATGATGTCACCCAGCCTAACCTTAATACTTTGTACGTGTAAGCCATTCTTTGGATACCTAACTCCGAATCCATGCAACAAAGCTCCGGAAAACACGCATCTATTGGTCCACTCGAATACTACTCAACCACTCACATCATGAGATAAATACTTTCTTCGCCAAGCCTTTCGCAAACACCTCTCCCGTCCTCAAATCCTTATACGTTTCCTCCTCCAAACCCACTTTCCGACTATACTCGTGCAATCGATGCTCACCATACACATGACCATTCGGCAAAAGCACCAAATCACTTTCAACGTGACTTTTAGTGTGTTGTGCATAGGGCATGTCTTTAGACAATTCGTTGAGTTCGATACTGCAGATAGGACAAACGGACGTAGTCGTTGTGGCTGTAGAAGTGGGAGAGATAGAGGAGGTATGCGAAGAATGACAGGCAGGAGTTTTGAGTGCAGAGAGACCGGCAGAGAGAGCGATGTGCAGGAGAGGTACAGAGGAAATATTAAGGAGTTCATTGTGCGTTTGTGTAAAAAGGTTGGCGAGGTGTGTCCAGCGAGTGGGACTATAGAGTTCCTGCGACTTTAGTTAGGGGTGTTGAGCAGATTTGCAAAGGGGACAACATACTCCGTAACCTGCAGCTTTAGTATCGGGAGGAAATGCTAGGAGCCCACACGCCTGTTGAACTTCTTTGGGATAGCTTTCCCGGAATGGTAATAGATACTTTTTCGCATGTGCGATAGATTCAACCAACTTCGCCTCATCTTTTGTGCGTACCAACTCGACATATTGCTGGAAACGAAGCATAAATTCGAGATTACTCTGTACGAAATGTCAGTATAGGTACTACGTACAGTACGTGCCTAAAATCCTTACCTCCATCTTCCTCAACTCTTTCTTATTTTCCGAACACCATGCCAACGCCTCCGTAACTTTGCCTTTGCATAGACTGTCTTTGATCCTACTCATCTGAACGAAAGTATCCACATCCACCAGCTCCTCGATATTCTTCTCCTGAGCAAGAGCACTAGCACTATCTTTATATCCATTCCTTAACAAATAATCAACTAGCAACCGATCTAATCGTGTCCGACTCCATTCCTCATATTTTACATCCTCTAAACTCTTTATATCATAAAGTGCACTTATATGTTTGATCCTCGCAGCAGATTGTGTTTGTAGTCTCTTCTCTTCTTCGGCACATGATTGGAGTTTGCGTTTTAGACCACGCATGCGGGTGAGCATATAATCAACATTTTTGAGAACGTCGTCGGGAGAAGCATGGGCATTGAGGGAAGCGTCAGTGGTTTCTTTCAAGGCAGTTTTAACGCTCGCAGATTCTTTTTCGAGATTGAAATGGACCACTTTGAAATTTTTCTTGAGGAGTTCGAGGGGAAGTCGAAGGAGTGGTTGATCCTATGAGACTATTAGCTTGAGCGATGCGTGGAGGGGAAGAGGGGAAAGGAAACCTACGAGGATTAGATGGTTCTCGGGATTTAGCTTGGTAGTTGTGAAATCAGCCATATTGAATGAAGTTCAGATGTGCTACAGTATTAAAAGGTGATGAGTTTCATAGAGATGAACAGAGAAAGTAGAGGAGTCCACGGGTGTGAATTGTGCCCAGAGGCAGTGGCAGTAGAGGCTGCTAAATCCAATGAATATTCGGACTGATAAAGGAATTGTTCTTTCGTGAATTAAGATGTTCAAGATATAATATTACATTCGGATTCAAACTAAATCTTGTAGAATTTTGTATAAGAATGCAGTAAGTTGTAACAATTAATGTGTATGATCTTGCAAGCCTACAATCATTGTAATCTGTATGATAGATTGTGAGACTGACGTTGTAGCTCCATTGTCTGGGACCGATAACTACGGTTGCTTTTACGACCAGATGTGATATCAGATCATTGCGGTCACATGGCTCTCGTCGTTTGGATGCCACATGCACGCCATGTCACGATAACCTATTTAAATATTGGAAGACTTTTGATTTTACCCTAGTGATTTAATGCGTTATATTGACATAAAAATTGGTGTGTTGAGAAGACCATCGCTGATCGTTGGAACGCGACATATCACGAGATCACGAGAGGCTTTCGAAGTCCAATGCCAAAAATTGAAGCATACTGTTTGTTCATCAGCAATCATTCAACGTACCCACATATGCTTCTGGAACGCGCGATAAGTAGAACTTGTACTGGGCCCCTTTTCGCCAACTTCCTTATGATTCATTGCTTCCCCTTATATCTTGCTCTAGATACGCGAACTGTTCCCCACAGGTTTGCCGCTCGTTTTAAAGCTTTATACTTTTCACAGTCCGTACATCTGCAACTTCAAATGCCATGGTTATGCCGCGTGTAGACTTTTGAAGCTTGCCGCGGGTGAGGGGCATATTCAATAGCATGAACCCGCTTCCCTTGCGATACATCTGCAGTACCGTATCCGCAAGCGAACCGAATCAAGAATTTGCTCTATTCATCTATGCCGCGTTGTCCTTACCGATCTTCAGTCCTTCTGGAGATCTACAACTCGGGTGATCTAGATGTATTCCCCTTGATTCTCCGCGAAAGCATGAAAATACAAACCGTACGCATCTCCGACCGACTCTCACTCTCATGATTTCGGAACCGCATCAACACATTGAGGTATCTCATTTACAATAAGATTGTCAACAAAAATAAAGACGCTCTCGACAGATTGTTTGCAGAGTCAAATTGGACAGATGCTAACCCTCGAGTTTATTCACTCCAGGGGATATAAAACCCATCACTCCAACAATATTTCAAGGGACCAAAAATGTACCAGACGGTTTTGTGATCTATGTTTGATACTTTTATTCTTCTGTGATGTGTTACCTAAGTTTGATCTCTCCACTTCCTACATCCAAAACAAAATGGTGACAGTCAAAGAAGCATAAACTAACATTGATGATTGAAGTTTGCCTTCTTCCATCATCATGTCCAACAACATTCTTCACCCTCTTTCCCCTCTTTCCCTTCTTCCTATACTTAGGAAGTTTTCCTCCTTTGCACCTTGAATTCTTTCCAGTCCGAGTATAATTGAATCGCTCTCTCCCCCTCTTTTGACTTTCGAAGCCATCTATACCCTACTTTGTCATCCCATTACCGTTTCTTCTATTCTCACGCTTTGTCTTTCCTTTCATGTGCCTGCTAGACTTTCGTGAGAGGAATAGGAAAGTAGCCACCTTTAATCGATAACTCAAGGCCCTGTGACGAATCAGAGGGCTATGGACTGGGCGGTGGAGTAGAAATGGGAATTCGAAAGCAACTTTGTCTTTGAATGTACCTGGAAAGGCCACCGCTTAGTATCTACCGATTTCTAGGTGCACTGAGTACAAACTACTACTACCTTACCACCACCATCTCCAACCAACAGATTGGCTGTGAAATGTCGCCATTTATTGAGAAAGGATTCTGATTTTGAGAGATCTCAGCAGCAGCGAGGTATCGAGTACCCAAACGCTCATGATATAAATTGAAATTGAAGGCGCGATCAACGTGATCTCAAAAGTCAAATCTTGTAAAGTGTCATCACCTAGAACAATGACGGGGTTGAACATACTCTGTGAGTCTGTAAAGAAACAATACGAGTAGAAGTACAGGTGAATGTCAAGACCTCATAAAAATGCCAAGCTTCTCTGACCAATCACGACAGCTCTGCACAGACATGTGATAGGGAAAAGAGTTTGATAGTGTGTGATCTCGACTGTTTGCGCGTCAAAAGCCTTTTATCTAAGGCATGAATATAGTTTCGGTCTAACGCATTATCACCTAGCTTTACAACAAGCCCCTCAATAATCTCTTCACCCGGTAAAAGTGCCTCTGCTCTTTTCCTTCCCACATGATCCTCTCTTCACGTGTATCGTATCAACCATCAACAAGAACACAAGAACTTCTTCAAAAAGAAGTACTTAACTCACGGTATTTTCGCAATAAATTCAATATTCTGAGGGTTGTCTCTTTTGTCTCAGTTCGGTCTTTATACCTAGTTAGGGTTGTCAAGCTTTGTTTTCGTGACATTGCAGTTTTGATCACTCGTGATCAATTGAATGGTTGTTTAACAACATCATCTGACCTTGGTGAGTATTTCGATTCCACCCCCCTTCCTATCCTTAATCAAAAGGATATCATCTAAAATTGATCTGTTAATTCTAATCCATAAAATCATCTACTAATAACTTTATAGATCTTGTCTCTTTTTTCACCATCGCAAATTCGAGTGGTTGGTGATTTAACAATATCAAAAAGTTCCATCATCCATATTTTACTTTGGTCGCGTTCCCACAAGAGCGAGCCTCGGGCAAGGAAGGGAGGAAAGAAAGATAACAACCACCCAACCGACCATTAGGTGATCATAATAAAAAACAAGGTGCGTGAAATTTCATAATCAAGTTCCACAAGCTCCCCTCCCCCTAAAAGAAAAAGGCGCCAAAGATCGATCAAATTTATTTTCAAATCTGTGCCTGTCCGTTGCATCAATCCGTTACTTGTCAGAAGCGCCTCTGCGCATTTATGAAGGAAAAAGAGAACAGATAGAAAGACAAAAGAGAAAAGGGCTATCTTTCGTGAAACCTCACAGCGTTCCAATTCCACGCAACAAGGATTGTTCGGACATTACCGTTGGCCCAAAATATCTTGCACTTCATAAATCACCAGATCGCAACACACACAAAATGCCTCCTCCCATGATTTTGGTCATATCTTGCAGAGCAGCATCAGTATACAATATCATATTGTAACTGAACTACTACCTGCGATGTTCACCTAAAAGGATAATAGTCTTGTTTGCACAGAAGTACCCCAATTAATTATTGGAATTGTTATACTTCTTGCCAACGAATTGCTTGATTTCATTTAGGATGATTCATCAACTCGCAGTTGCAGCATTTCGGAGAGAGAAGCGCAACATCACCACATCACCCAAAAGTTCCAATTGACATCTCATTTTGTTATCAGGAATCTCTTGATTGATTGAGTTACTATGTGATACTTTATCTGCAATGACACGTGCTGACCTTGTAGGTGCTACGTTGAAGGACACAGAAACGTTCGTTTCGAAGATCACGGCGACGAACTACTGCAGCTGAGCGCCTCGAAGCATTAGAGCGAGTCACCGATACGTCTCCATTGCTTCCGTAACAGCCGTCCCCTCTGCATTAGAAGAAGAAGCTCGTCGCACTTGTGCCAACCTCGGTAGACACGTCATTAAATCGCGAAAGATCAAGTTCAGCCTTAAATCTATCTACCAACCCCTCGAGGTCATCTGCGCCTTACGATTGTTAATTCCTCACATCCCACACAAATCACCGTGCAAGGCTCGTCACGAGGACACCAGATTATCGCAATGGCAGACATGGACCTTGAACATTCAGGATTGCAGGAGGTAGCAAATGCTATGCGGGAAGAGAATGCTAATATGAGCAACACTGCACAAAAGCGGAAGCGGGACTCCGAATCAGCTGATGACACGAGGCGCCTTAACAACAAGCGTGTTTCCCCGAATTCTGTCAATGACTCCGGTGACCAATCGTTGGTCAATCAGCAGATCGGTGATGTAGAAGCCCTGCAAAATTATGCCAACCTTCAACACAATCAACAAATTCATCCCGACCATCAAAATGGTGCTGCAGATCATGCAAACGCCTCATCTACTGCCGCTGCGGCACTTGCTGGAATCTATCCAACCATGACAATTCCACAACCAACAGATGTTTCTTTTGCATCTCAAGCCTCCGAGAACGATCGTCACCAGGATTCATCTTTTATGGATAACAGCCAGCAGCCCGACAATAGCTTCATGGACAATTCGCAACAGCAACACCAATCTCAAAGTCGAAGTTCTGGTTCAAAGCCTGTTGTAGGATCCGATGAATGGCATAAGGTCCGAAAGGATAATCATAAAGAAGGTAAATTTACTCTGCGTGTTCTATATTTATATTTCTTAGTTGACCATTTTTCTAGTTGAGAGACGTCGTCGAGAAACCATCAATGAAGGTATCAACGAGTTAGCGAAGATTGTACCAGGGTGTGAGAAAAACAAAGGATCTATTCTACAAAGAGCTGTTCAATTTATCACCCAGCTCAAGGAGAATGAGACTCAAAACATTGAGAAATGGACACTTGAGAAGCTTCTCACTGAACAAGCCATTGCGGAACTCAGTGCTAGCAATGATAAGTTGAAGACAGAATGTGAGAGAGCATGGCGTGAAGTTGAGACATGGAAGAAGACATGTCAAAGTGCTGGTTTGGCACCCAAAAAGGAAGATGCTGGTGCTTCCGATAATTAGATGATGTTGGAGTCTTGAGAATATTGGGCGGTCTTCTCCTACATTGTTGGTCCCAACGCGATAAGATGATACCCTTTAAAGACAATGTTTTCGAGCCTTTGTGAATCGACTTATCACCTTTCATTGTTTCTTTGGGAGAAGTAGGGATTTTGGAGATGGTTAGGTAGCTTTTGCTTTTATGATCCCTCTTGTTTTCATGCGGCACCGGTTGGAG